ACTCGAGCTTGACGCTGGCACTGTAGCCACCCTCATCGTAACCTGCAGTCCCATCCCACCAGTCAGAATGCGATCTCTGGTATTAAACACCACAGCGTGAAGATGACGTACCTTTAGGAATGCTGCCACAAGCTATAATGAAGATCACTAAGGCATAATAGGGATTTGTGGTCCACCGAGACCAGTCAATCGCCTTCCATCGCATGATGGCGAAGCGGGAGGAACCGCGATGGAGCTGGAATCAGCTATTTTGGGGATATTAGCCGACGAGATTATAGATGTGTATTAAGCACTATGGAGTTGAATCTGGGGAAGCTCCAGTTTGAACCGATTGCTGCCTTGTTGGGTACGTATCCGAAGGGGCCGGGGGGAGAATGATTAGGAGGCAAGCCACACGATACGAGTCAGGCCAGACGAGTGGACGGAGAACAAGCGAAGCGAGCAACAAAACTCGGAAAGGAGAGAATATCCACTCGGAAGGAGGAGGGCCGAGAGGGGGGGAAACTGGAAGGAGCGAGGGGGGGGGGGGAATGGGAAGCACGGGATCCAGAGGGGCGTGACTCGCCTCTCGGTCAACTTCCGTAATTCTCTTTTCTCTCTCTCTCTCCTCCTTTTTTTCCTTTGGTACACACGCTAATGCATCACTAGACACCGTTCTGGAATAGAACGCCATTTATTCTTGGTATGCACCTATTTCCCGTTTCTGATATTAAACTATCGAACTACAATCTCGATGCTGACTTCATCTAGTGACATCTATATCTAGATCTAACTTAACTATAATTCTTTTATTCTCAATAGCACCATGCGTGCACACTTCGCCTGCATGTCAGATCGGGCGGGTCGTTCCGCCTGCATCCACTCGGGCCATTACCGTTGCCTGTGAACAACTCCGCTCCCCGTGGCTCTGCAGTTCGCTTAGATACACGTCCGATCTTGCTCGGTTCAAGTAGTCAAACGTTTCCAGTTGTCATTGGTTGCCGATCAAGAAAAAAGCAAGTGGACATGTCCAATGTCGCTCACGTGGAGTGGCTCCCTTGCGGCCACATTCCGACCTCATCTTACCGGTTTTCGTAGTACTTCAGCGACACCATCCCGCCTTTCACTGGTGACTGGTGGGTCAGGGACTGTTTCATTCCTCACGTTCACTGGCATCCGTCCGGTAACACAATCGGGAAGCCGATGAGCTGCCGTAATGCCTTTATCCACAGTTATGACTAGACGGGTCGTCCTTGGCTTTGCACCTAGCCTAATAGAGAGCATGATATCGTTGCAGAAATGCTCCTTAAGAGTAGCTGTGGGAACACTCCGGCTCAGCTGTCTTGTGAGTTTGTCACACTTGTGTTGGACATCTACACCTACTGCTATCCTCCTGCCATCACTCCTACCGATACCTAACCTTTTCACCTCGCCCTTGATGACGTCTTGACCATGCTCTCGTCCTCCATGCCCACAATGCTTACCACGTTCCAGCCCAGGACTGGCCTGCTTGAATCTCCGAGGGCCCTGTTCAGCACTACACATCTGAAGGAGGAGCGACAATTATGCAAGGAGGGAACGGCAACCCTCCAACCTGTCCCACTGAAGTATCGGATTCCCCGAGGGACGTGGGATACACATATGCACGTTGTGGAACCAGAGCGCTTTCCAGTTTCCGCGAATGCAGTCTATCAGCCCCCCGAACATACCGTTGAAGATGCGATAAGTTTCGAATCTACCCTTGGCATCGAAAAAATTGTACTGGTTCAACCATCTATATACGGAACCGACAACTCTTGTCTACTTGAAGCGCTCAAAACCCTCGGACCTTCTCGCGGGCGAGGAGTCGTGGTGATTGATCCGACCAACATAGACACCGAGACCCTGGAGGAATGGCATTCACTGGGAGTACGCGGCGTGCGGGTGAATCTCAAATCAGTGGGCAAGGTGCTCAGCGAGCATGAGCTGACCGAGACGCTGCTGCAACATGCGCAAATAGTACGGCCCTTCGGGTGGACTATCCAGGTCTACGTATCTTTGGATATGGTTCCCCTGTTGGAGAAAGTTGTCCCACAGCTCGGAGTTAAGCTGTGTATTGACCATTTTGGAGGGCCAGATCTGGCCGCAGTTGAACACAACGGGGAATCGTTTAGCCCCTATACGCTCCCGGGATTTTCCTCATTAATCTCGCTTCTGCGAGGCGGAGAGACCTACGTGAAGATCTCTGCCCCGTACCGTCTCAGCAAAGACGAGGAGTATCGAGACCTGGAAGCGATGGCCCGGGAGTTCCTTGAAGCCGCTCCGGACCGTGTGATATACGCCACCGACTGGCCACACACGCGGTTCTCCGGCGTGGACATTGAACCCTTCACCGAGACATGTCTACGGATATGTGCGAAGGAGCCTGGATTGGCGGAGCGGGTGTTTCGAGATAACGCGGAAGAGATGTTGAGGGGGGTATAGTTCATTTTCTGATTTGATAGCGTCCAGCCAGCCTCCATTCGCCCCCCTATTACGATTTACGACATCGCATAGCATACCATACCAAGAAATGTCATTCAGAATTTTCCAGCCATCAGGAAGCGGCCCTGCAGATCGTGAAACGAGTGAGCTGTCCAATTCGGCCAGGTTCCGAGGTGTATAACTCGAGTGCATCATGTAATCGGATTTACGGTAGAAATTGCCGAGACGTCGGCAACAGTGGAGACCGGCAAAGTGCACGGAAAGCGAGTCAGAAAACCTTTGCCTTTATATATCCCCAGATAATAGAGATATATTGTAAGACTTACTGGAGAAGGATGATAGAAAACAGTAAGATCCTCCCCCATAAAAAGTACCCGGGGAAGGAAAAGTCCCGGAGTTCAGGATTAATCCTAATGGTGCACGGATAGTACATTAGCCTCGGACAGAATCCGAAATGTACGCCAACAAACACCAACACATACCTGTACGAGCTACGTACGTCGCTAGCTAACCCAGGTTGATAACTACCAAGTATGGTTCGTTTGACGGGGAGTTATGCTTTTCCTCGGAAAAGTGCAAATTTTTTTCCTTTTTACCTTTGTACCTTGATTTGACTCTTGGCTGGCTTATCAGATCCGATAATAGGCGAGCGAGCGAGGTTCATCCGCGGGTACCGAGCCCTAGTTAGTTTACATAAGGAAGCGAGAGAAGGGTTCAACTTTTCGTTTCTTCTTCCCCCAGGAGGATGAATCAGGGTTGGATCCACATGCAGGCCGTTCGGGAGGTTCTAGAATGTTGGGGTAGGAGTCTGGATCTATGTAGCTATTCTTGGAGGGGGAATTATTAGCGATGAATACGATGTGGTGTTGTAGTGATCAGGGATTGTTTGTATCTGGGGTATAGACTACAAGGTGGATATGTATGTTAACAGCTGACTCGCTCCCTGATTAGGGTAGTGTTGTATGACTCGTGCAGGGTCTGTGCACTTGCATGGGAGGATTCGTGGATGCAGGATGCATGCTGTGTGTGTGAGGTGTACGGTTGGCTTGCTTGCTTGTATGATGCCATTGGGTTCTGTGTGAGAGGAGAATACGAGATGCGGGCTGTAGTAGGCATCTCCGTGACTCGGTAAGCTTAGGGGTTTTGGACCCTTGAAGTGGGGGAGGAGGTTGGTAGGGGATACATGATGTTTGTTCTGTTCTTATTGATTATTTTTATTCCTTGATTGTTGTTGTGGGAATATTTTATTCATATTGTATTATTGTAGAGAAATAGGACCATGGTAGATTGGACTTGAAATCATATGTGTCTAATGTAATCTCACACTATGCTCTTCTGCTTATTGCATTTTTTTGTTTTCACCGTTAAGTGGAAGAGGATTATTGAGAAAAGCTGTTTAAGGTAGTAGCTGTTATGTTGATCGATACATCATCACCTGGAAGTCCAACATCCGAGGTATACAAGCCGGAAGCATACCACCAATCCCACTAATGCATACGTTTTTGCAATTCAACACTACCTACTCTCTCATACTAATTCTTTCTAAAGTCTAGATTACTTCAGTATCAATTAAATCATAATGAACAACGAAATCAAAGCACACACACCAACCCAACAACCTGTTCCACTCCCTACGTCATCGGGATGTCACCACCACAACATCAACTATAAACACCAACACCACTACCACCACCACAGCCCATACCTCACAGCAACCCCGATTACCAACTACACCACATCAAACACCCAACAAAGAGAATAATACTCAAGATGCCCACCAAAAAAGTCCTCATAATCCTCAGCGACGCGACCTCCTTCCCCCTCCACAACACCTCCAGCGGCACCCAAGAACAACCGACAGGCTTCTTCCTCCCGGAACTGGCCAAACCACTCTCAAAACTCCTCTCAGCCGGCCACGAAGTAACCTTCGCCTCACCCAAGGGCCTCACCCCGCAACCCGATCCCAACAGCGAATCCCTCCTCACCTTCGCAGGCAACTTCTACGAACGCCGACGCGAACAAGACCTCATCGCACGCATGCGACGCGAAAACGGCTTTTCATCACCGCGCCCCTTCGCCAGCATCTCCGACGAGGAACTGGAGACTTTCGCGGCGGTATTCATCCCCGGTGGCCATGCGCCGCTGGTGGATCTCGGTGGGGATGAGGAGTTAGGACGGATATTGAGATACTTTCATCAGGAGAATAAGCCCACGGCGGCGATTTGTCATGGCCCGTTGGCGTTGTTGAGTACGAGGAAGGTTGGTGATGGGGAGTTTGTGTATAAGGGGTATGAGATTACGTGTTGGAGTGATGCGGAGGAGAAGGTTATGGAGACGTTGTTGAGGGGGGAGATTGATAAGGTGGAGAGTCAGTTGAGGGATGCCGGGGCTGTGATGGTCGAGGGGGGCAGGGAGAAGTTGGGCAAGACGACGCTTTGTAGGGAGTTGTTGACTGGGGGGAATCCGTTGGCGGCGGAGGAGTTGGGGGAGAGGTTTGTTAGGATGGTTAGTGTTTAACTTGACTTTCCTTCTTCTTTTGAAGGTGTAATTAGAGTGTACAATAACTGGATATTTCATTTTTGTTGTATATGGGTCATGTTTTGAACAGTAGTGTATATTCCTTCCTCCATTTAGTGTTCCATCTTTTTTCTTTCCAATAATCTACAGTAGTAGTTGATTCAATCATCATCCGTGTTCTGCTCTGCCTCCGCCGTGCAGATGAACTCGGGACCCTATATTCATCACCATCATTAGCATATATCCCTACCATAACCCTCACAACCATCATGAAGATAGTGACAGCACTCACAATAGTATAACAACACTTAACAGTCCCACCCTGAGGACACTGATCCACCCACTCATATCCATCCATCGACTGGCCTGCAACAAACATTAGCATCCACCCACTCAACAGTCAAAAGGTATGCTGCTGCTGATGCTGCTTAACATACAATTATTTCCCTGCTGAGCAATCGAATCTCCCGGCGTAGGAGAGAAACTATCACAGCAGTACGGGTCCTGGATCATGCCCGTGCCATCCTGCGCCATGAGACAATAGTAGTCGCTGCCGGCGGCGACGAGGGTCGTCGATGCGGCGAGTGTGAAGAGGATGGATTTGAGATGCATTTTTGACTGTCTTTTCCAAAAAGATAGGGAAAGATGGAGGAATGGATGAATAGATGGCGGAATTTTGCTAGTCAGTGAGGTGATCCGGCAGGGTATTTATTTGAAATAAAAACCCCGGAAATAAGGATTGTCTCGTGTAGTAGGGATAGATGGGATTTGCAAGGTACGTGCAATGTGCGGAGTATGTAGTAGACGCGTGTCCTGTCCTTGTTTGATCCCTTGCGTGGCGGGTTCGAGACATGGCGGCTGGTTGGCACATGGTATGTATGTATGTATGTATGTAGCAGATTGGGTTGATGTGGGTGAAATTGGAATTGGTGTGAATGGAAACTGTAACTCTTGATTTGATAGATGGCTTGTTGTTGATCCCACCTACTATGCGGTTATTTCTTCCTCTGCAGAGGATTGGACAGTATGCTTTTGGTGGCGCGACTTGAATGTTCACTGCCTTGGTGGGTAGTAGTATCCCCCTTATCCCTTGATAGTCCCCTGCCACTGGATTTTCCTGTCTTGTCCCGTCCCGTCCCTGGCTAGTGGCTATGTGCTTATGTATGCTGCGGCAGAGTTTATGCTTATTGAGAGATGTCAATCATCTGGATTAGCTGTAAGGGCACCATGTAAGCGATCTGTCTGAGACACTAATTAACTACTTTTTACCCCCTCTCATCACATCTCCAATTCAACGTGTTGACTACTTCAGTTTAAGATTCACAGGAGCATCAAGTGCAAAGCCCTTGAACGTCCGCGCTGACTTCCCCAGCAAGGTACATTTCTCCACCTTGGGGATGGCCTTCTGTCCGAATGTACCCTGGACGTGCAACTCCCCGTTGCTGTACGTGAACTCGAGCTCTGTCACAGATGACGGGTTCAACGAGTCCCCATCATCCAAATACAGACTGCCCGATGCGGTGCCATCCAAGTCTGGCGCGATGATCAGTTCGAAGCCCTGCTTGCGAACTTCAGTGGTCGTCATGCCGCTGGACGTCCTGACAGGGATGATGTTTCCACCGCGAATGTGCAGAGGGATGTGGGTGACGTTGATGTTGCTGAGCGTGATGTTTTCTCCGTGTCCGCGCACCACTGCTCCTGTGTACCAGTCGTAGAAGATGTCATCCGGGAAGTATGCGTCGACTGAGGTGGATCCCTCATTCAGGACCGGGCTGACAAGAAGGGCGTCACCGTAGAAGAACTGTCGGTCGTTCGCAAAGGTGTTTGAATCCTCAGGGTACAGGTAGAATTGAGGCTGCAGGAATGGCTCGCCGGTCTGGCTTTGCCGGTGAAGAGCAGTGTAAATGTAATCGAGGAGCCTGTACCGGATGTCAATAGCCTTGCGGGCGGACTCGGCAACCGTGGGCCAGCGGTAGAACTCTTGCGGTATATCGCCTAGCTCGTTGTGATTGCGGTAGAACGTATAGAAGGCACCAAGTGACGCCCATCGGCCACAAAGTTCCTCCGTCGTGTTGCTACCGAACCCACACACGTCAGCTCCAACCATTGGGATCTGAAACATCGATGCGAAGGAGAGAATCTGCGCGATGGAGATCCGGTAGTGAACCCAGTCGCTAAGGTTGTCGCCCAACCTGTACCAATCAGCGATGCTCTAGCTAGAATTGTTGGCAAACTTACCAGTGGCCTACATGTGCTCCAGCACCCGCAAACGTACTGCGAGTAATGACCAAAGGTCTCACATCGGGACGGCGAGCCTGCATCGCCGTGCGGGAAGCAGAGCTCATCACTAAACCTGTCAATGGCGACTCATATCTGCATATCTTCCAAAGACTTACTTGTTCCGTAAAGATTGTGGGTATCATATTCGGCATACCCTTCACCAGCATGAATGAGATCGGTCTCGATAGTGCTCATACTGAGTACGCCTGCGGCATTCCGGATTGTGTAGGGCGGGTCAGTGAGGTTGCGGTTGGGCAACCCGACCTTCTTCCCTTTATCACCTTGCGCTCTCTTAACAGATCGCTTGGACGAAGGTTGGAAGTCCGCCGGGAATCCGGGTAGTGGAATCGGGCTGCTTGGCCGTACAGGCGGCGCTGCTGGTGGGAGGTCGTCGGAGATCGCATATGCCGCTGGGTCAAGACAAGGATACGGGCAGAAGTTGGATGCTTCATTCATGTCAATCCACAGGGCGTCGATATCGACTCCTGACTTGGGGTCAAAGAACTGCTGGAATTGCGCAGTCCAGTAATCCTGAGTATCCTCATTGAACCAGTCTGGGAAGACCGTCACACCAGGCCAAACAGCACCTGTAGAGTTTAGTTATGCTGCTAGGTATAAAGAATGTGATTACTTACCCTCATACAGACTACCGTTCTGATTGTGAAGGAAAACATTGTCTCTCACGCCAGTGAGATATGCCGTGTTATCTGTAAATGGCATTTTAGCCCCGAGCGATGCAAGGATAGGTCATCAGTTACTCACTACTCACGCTCACAGCCGGGTCGACCATGACAATGTAATGCTGATCGTGATTGTGGAGGTAGGTTACCAGCTCCCGCATTTTTTCGAGCGGGAACCTCTGAGGATCAAGAGTAAACACCCTCCTCTTGTCCATGTAGTCAATATCTGTCCACATCGTCTCCAGAGGGATCTTTGCCTGGCTGTAGTTGTAGACCACTTCGGCAAGTTCATAGACATCGCGGTATCCATAACGGCATTGGTGGAGCTGAAGGGTCAGCATATAGTTCGTACTGTCACGAGTTTAGAAAGAGAAGAACGTACACCGAAAGTCCAGTAACTTTGCATTGCCGGGAGACCGACAATCTTCGAGTACTCCATGCTCGCTTGCTTAGGATCTTCTCCATAGAAGAAGTAAAAGTCCAGAACACCACCGAGAAGATTGTATTCCAAGTACTGCTTCCCATCTGTGGTCTGATTGATCTTGATGTCCATACCATTAGAGTTCAGCAGGAAGACTCCATGGGTGCCGGACTTTCCACGGTGATCATAGTACACAGGATGACTGCCGTACAAGTTGGTGTTGTTCGGAGTGCCATACGCGTCGCGGTTCCACAAGGTCCGCGTGTAGTTGTACGTTGGCAAACGCATAGGGTCAGAGTGCTCTCCGAGACCATACACATACGGGTCATCGGGCAGCCAGGTGCGAAGCCTGACATATTGCGACTGAAAAATCAGGGTGGATGCCGAAGAGTCAAACAGGACCTCATCTCCCTTGGAGATAGTGAACGAAAATGGTTCCTCCACATAGTCGAATTCCAGAACACTGTCCTCAGAATCCTTGTCACTGCCCACGCGAGGAAGGACCGATTCAGGAACTTGATAGACTTCTTCGTCGGCATCATAGATCATAACATGTAGCCGTTCATCTAAGCAATCTGTTAGTGAGACATACACCCTTGATTCACAAAATACACTCACCGGTCTGATACTCCACAAGCAACTTGAGGTCCTCCAAATCCTTGCCATAGCTATTACAAGGCGCACCGGCTAGAGTCAGATCCGCAGTCAAAGACCTAGCAGACTTCTGCACATTGGACGCCTTATACCCAGGGCAACTCTGACTGCCTGCCCGGGGACCAATGACAGCAGCGCCCACAAGGGGTAAGAGAAAAAGCAAAGACCCCAACATTGTGATGTTGGCTCTAGGATTACCCCGGACTACAGCAAGCCTTGAGTTCGTATCCAAACCGGGAGGTCACAGCGGCTTATATGTGTTTGGGCACGGACTGATGACATTGAATGCATGGCGCGTTGGCCGAAGTGCATAATGTGGCGTTGCGCGGTATGACCGGACCCCGCAGATTCAATCAGCGAAGCCAAGGAATGTAACTGACAAAGAGGCGGAATGAGCCGAGCAGTGCGATGAGAAAAAGCAATATTCATAGGGGAGAAGAGCCGAGCAACGTGGAGACGATTGCCTAAAGAAGACAATGTGAGTCTATGGTCGTCCCATCTCGGTCAAATATCGGGGATCTTCGCCGCTATCGGCTTGGGGCTGATGCAGGGACCGAATAATATCGGGTCACTTACACCGATTCTCGTCCATTGAATCTCGTGCAGCAATCTAGACTTTTGACACGTCTGATCGGTATATCACTCGGTAATGCTTTGGATGGTGGGCCTGATTTCTGCAGGTAAGCATTGGCAGGGAATAGTAGTAGTATGGAGATGGAACCGAGGAAGTGACGGTGATGGTGGCTCTCCTCATTCTCCCCACCACGTGCCCCGCCTGACGCCCCGCAAACAAACAAACAAACTGAGACATTCAAAGGATCAGGATCAGATCTCGTTCAAAGAACATGGCCAAAAGTGAATATTTCTGCTTACTACAAAGCCCACCAAGAGTCAGACAAAGCGTCGGATGCAACGGATTCGGTCTGCTGATACGTAGTTGTAGCTGATAGGTGGCTCTGACCTGTCAAGAGGCGGTCGCTAATGTAAGTGCTGCAAGCCTTTACAGTTGAGGTGGCAGTGGCAGAAGATATTGAGCACATAGTACTATCGTGACACTCGAGGGGCGTGCTCGCCCATCCAGCATGTCGGGTACCCTGGCAGAAGCTTGAGGACCTGGGGGAAATGTGCAGATAGTTGTAAGACAGTGTTCAGTCAACCTACAGCTCTGGGTTATTCTCCCGCTTCATTCTGTGCGGACGCCTGTCCTTGAGATGAGACAGCTACTCTACCTGCAACACATGTCAAATGCAGATGCCGTGAGAGTTAAACGTGAAGGAATAGAATTCTACGTGCATCTCTATACCTCCAACCAGCAGGGATCTCTAACAACATCGAAAAAGGAAAACGTTACATGGGATAATCCATCCATCAAGTGTCATCAAAAATATGTGTTATGAATGCGAAAGGTATCCAAGGTGACCAGCCACCCAAAATGTGCAGTTGAAGTATGTTCTCAAATGTGCGACTGTTTAGATCTTCTGACCAGCGGAAGCAGCCTTAACATCGTCTTCGGAGCTCATGATTTGAACCTTGATGGCACCTGTCTTGGGGTTGGCAGCCGTCTCAAAGGCCTTGATCGCATCCTCCAAGAGGAAGCGGTGCGTCACAAGCTTCTTCAAGTCGATAACACCGTTCCTCACCAAGCGGATCGCGCGAGGCCAAGTGTTGCAGTATCGGTACTGGTACTGGAGGTCAATCTCCCAAGTACTGAGGCGCATAAAAGGCACGGTCATCTCGTTCTTTCCGACACCAATGACAAAGACCTTGCCGCCGAACTTGACACTCCAGATGGCCGAAGCCACACTGCTCTCCACACCAGTGCACTCCATCGCAATGCGAGGCCTCAAAGCGCCGGGGCCCGAGCCTTGTCCATCGTTGAAGACGTTGATGATACCTTCGGCATT